ATGGCTGGAGCCTGTGTGGGGTCCAGAGAGGCCCAGCAGAGGCGCCTTGGTGGGGGGGCCATGCTGTGGGTGGGTCAGAGGGGCTTCGGCAGCCATAGGGTACCCGGGGCAGGGAGCGGCCAGGACAGCACCTTCTTAGTCCCTCTGGAGGGAGCCTGGCATGGGGTAGGGAAGGCCCCGGGGGCGTGGGGAGGCCCCCTGCCCACCCCACTGCTTCCTGGCAGCATCCCTGCTGCTTGTCGGCTGCTGAAAGCAGGCTGAGCACCTGGGCAAGCGGTGAGGGCCTCAGGGGCCACAGGAAGGAGCCTGCCGTGGGGTAGGAGGTTTTCAAGTAAGAGAAGTGGCCCCGGCTCACGCCTGTAATCCCAGCACTCTGGGAGGTTGAGGTGGGCGGATCACAAGGTCAGGAGATTTAGACCATCCTGGCCAACATGGTGAAGCCCTGTCTCTACTAAAAATACAAGAATTAGCCAAGCATGGCAGTACATGCCTATAATCCCACATACTCGGGAGGCTGAGGCAGGAGAATCACTTAAGCCCGGGAGGCAGAGGTTGCAGTGAGCCGGGATCGCGCCACTGCACTCCAGCCTGGTGACAGAGCAAGACTCCGTCCCAAGAAAAGAAAAGAGGTGACCTCTGCCACGGCTGAGGCTGCAAGATGTCCCCAAGAGTGGAGGGGGAGGGCCGAAGAGCTGTGGGCGGGAGGGGTCTCCTGCAGCCTGGGGGCTCTGCTGGCCTGGTCTGCACTCTGCCCCTCGGTGCCCTGCTGGCTGCTGCCCACCCAGCCGGCATAGGGAGCAGGCCTCGGCCTTCCCTGTCACCCTCAACCCAAACCACTCACTGTGGCCCAGTCCCTGCTGGCTGCCCTGGCTTTGAGGGCGGGTGGCACCTGGGGCTGGTTCTTGTGGGAAGATGAGTCTGGGGTCACATAGGACATCCCATTGGGTGTAGGCAGGGCAGGCTGGGATGGGGCCATCACAGGAGGCTGGGCAGAGGGCGGGTCTTGGGTGGAGGGGACCCCAGGCCACAGGTGCTGGTCTTGGGCAGCCGCCCTGGGACCCCTGCAGGCCACCTCCTCCACCCCACAGCTGACGGTCTTTGCCCTCCCCTCCCTACTGTGTCACACACTCAGTTCTCTATACACTTTTATCACGGAAAATATCAACTACACATGAAGGCAGGTCGTCCAGACAGAGACCCTGTGTCCTGGTCACCAGCCCCTCACGATGACGCCCCAGGCTTTAGGCGTGATCAGTGGCGGACAGGACTTCCCAGCAGGACGCCCACTTCCAGACCTGGTTCTGTGAAGAGGGGAGCAGGAAGTACTGGGGGTGACAGAGGAACCTCGAGACTCACATCCTCTCTCGGGGTACGCGGCTGAGACCCGCACAGAGGACCCGGCCGGCCGGCCCCAGCTCCCCGGTGGGCACGTGAGGCACTGGCCTCGGGCATGGCGCTTGCAGGGACGCCAGAAAAACGGTCATCAAGATAAAACAATACCCTGTTGTTTTAATAAACCCCAACTGCAAAGGGCCCGCAAGAATCCAAGTGGCTCATTTAAGACGGCGGCTCCGCCGAAAAAGGGGTCTCCGTTTAGACCTCAGGACGTGGCTCTTGGGTCTCACTCAGGAAGGGATTCAAGGTGAGTCACAGAGTGCGTGAGAAGAGGGAGCTTACTGAAAGCTGCTCCATTCCTGGGCAGGGCATCGTCCGAGAGCAAGAGGGGAACACCCAGCTTACGTTTTTATCCTGCAGGACCAAGCTGACCGCGCCTCACATGATTATCCCAGCGATTTAAAGAAAACTGTCCCCAACGGGGTGGGGGTGTCGCTCTGTCGTCGCCCAGGCTGGAGTGCGGCGGCAGCGTCTCGACTCATTGCGGCCTCCGCCTCCCGGGCTCAGGCGATCCTCCCGCCTCAGCCTCCCAAGTAGCTGGGACTACAGGTGCGCACCACCATGCCTGGCTCACTTTATTTTTTGTAGAGACGGGGTCTTGCTGTGTTGCCCAGGCTGGTCTCAAACTTCTATGCTCAAGCCATCCTCCCACCTTGGCCTCCCAAAGTGCTGGGATTACAGGCCTGAGCCACTGCATCTGGCCACAGGTGATGACCTGGAAAGCGCATGTTGTTATGGACGCCGGCACTGGACACTTTGCTGTCGTAGAAGCTTTCGCTGTAAACAGCCTGTGACCAGGGGCTGTGCTGGCGGGGATGGGCCTCGAAGGCCTCACGGTGGAGCTGAACTTCCACCCCTTTCTCCGGCTCTCCCAGGCTCCTGCTCCCCACAGCACCTCACACACTTCCCTTCAAAGCAGGGGTGTGCAATCTTTTGGCTTCCCTGGGCCACGTTGGAAGTGGAAGAATTGTCTTGGGCCACACATAAAATACACGAACACTCACGGTAGTTGGTAAGCTAAAAAAGGTTCGTGGGTAAATCTCATAATGTTTTAAGAAAGTTTCCAAATTTGTGTTGGGCGCATTCAAAGCCCACAGCCTGAGGGTTGGACAAGCACCTCTAGGTGGGCCTGCAGGGGTGACTCTGGCCGGGGAACCAGGAGGAAAGGCAGGAAGGAATCCTATTCAGAGCCCGTGTCCCTCAGACAGCCCAGCAGGGTGAGGTGGGAGGGGCTGGCGCTGCCGCAGGGGGCTGACCTTGGGGGCGAGGGGCAACCTTGGAGAGGAAGCTGACCAAGAGCAGAGGCTGGGGGTGGGGGTGCGCAGGGCCCTGGGCGGTGCCCCTGTGCCCACAGCAGGACCCTGGCTGCCAGTTCTCCTCCGCAGAGGGCCAGGTGGTCTAAGGCTGCCCAGCAGGGAGAGAACAGGCCTGGTCTGGAACAGAAATCTGCCATCCAGTCCTCTTCCAGCCTTGAAAAAGGGCCTGGGTGGCAGCAGAGGACCGGGCAGCTGGCGCCCCATCCCGCCCCCAGCAGCTGTGCCTGAGCCGGGCGCTGACGTGATGAGCACTGCTGTGTCCTGGGCACTTGCTGGCCCCAAGGCAGGAGTCCCTGTGGGTGAGGGTTGCCCAGCTTCCCGGAGACGGGTCTCTGCGCCAGGGCTCTGACAGGGCAGGAAGTAGATGGAGTCCCACAAGCAGGAACCCAGTGCACAGAAACTTGAGAGAATAGTTCTGTGATAAAATCAAATGGGTGAAGTGCTGGGAACCTCAAACAGGTGAGGGTGCAGCTTTGGGGAGAGAGGGCCCCAGGAGTGAGCAGGGAGCCAGGAGAGAAGCGGCGCTCTGGAGGGCCCGGGAAGGCCTGCCTGCACAGGACGGGGCACAGCGCCGGGGCCTGGGCTCAGGGCTGCGTGGGGCTGCCCCAAAGTCCCCCCCTGCCCTGCAGAGACAGCCAAGGGGCAGGTGGAGACAGGCGGGGGTGAGCCAGGGCAGCATTTGCTACGACAGATGGAACCTAGTGGCGAGGGGCCCTTCAGAGACAGCGGACGTCTCTCAATCTCCAGCTTCTTCCCCAAGGCCACACAGCCCACGAGAATCCGCTGGGTCCATGTGTCCCTGCCCAGAGGGGCTTCCCCTCCAATGCGTGATGAGCACAGCCGCCAGGCCACGTCAGGGAGGCCAGGCCTGGTATGGACGGGGTGCCCCAGGCCACTGCTGGGGAGGGAGGATGCCCAGCCGAAGGGGGGAGGTGGAGCTCGGGTCTGGGGGGGTGCGGGTGGGGTCTCTGCAAGGCCCTGGCTCTGGTGGGCTGGGCAGGCCTGCTTGGGGCATCATCCAGCTGTTTAGCCTCTGAGCCACCAGACATGCGAGGAGCACCCCAGGAGACCCCCGGCCGGCACCTCCAGTTCCCGCCTGATGGCGGCTGGGCTTGGACCAGGAGGCGTTGTGCCTCCTGCCGACCTAGAGGGCAGACCCCTAGGCCAGAGGGGTGGGAGTTGAGACCAGGAGGATGCAAATCTGAGCCTCCTGCACTGAGGAGGCCCCTCCCTACTGAACGTCAGGGCCCACGGGGCCTGGGCAGGGAACCCGAGCGCCGGCCTTGGGACTGGGTCTGGAGGGACAGCTGGCTGGGAAGGAGCTAGGCCTGGGATGACAGCAGAGAAGGACCGACGCCCAGCCAGGGTGCCTCAGGTGCCTGCCTCTGTGTAGAGACCCCGGGCACTGGCCTCAGACCTGCCCCACCCGTGTGACACCGGGCCAAGTGCTCCCCTTCCCTGGGCCTGTCTCCACGACCATGAAGTGGGAGCTCCCCCCAGCCTCTCCCGGTCGTTGAAGAGAGAGAGGCTGTGGTCAGGGGCTGTGGGGCCCACGTTGAGGAGACAAGCTCCCTGCACTCGGAGTGGACGGGGCCCGGGAGGCGGGTGGCCCCCACCACAGAGGGGCAGCCTGGGCCTATAGGCTCCCCCACCCTGAGCTCAGAAGGAAGATGTCTGCCTAGGAGGTGGGGGCCAGAGAGAACGTTCCAGCCTAGAGAATGCCCCACCCTACTCTGAGAACCCCCATGGCACCCCTGTCCTGCTGGGAGGCCCCTAGGGCAGTGGGGCACGGATGGGTGGTCTGGAAAGGCTTCTGAGGGGGTGGGCTTGGAGGAGGGGCAGGTGGTCTTGTTGGGGAGGAGCAGGGCAGGCGACCGCTGTCTGTGCACGCGGGAGCATGTGCCTCTCACCCGTGTGCGCGTGTTGGCCTGTGCCTGTGTGCGCGCCTGTGTGCTGGTGCGTGTTGGTGTGTGCGTGTCTGCATGTGTGCTGGCATGTGCGTGTGCATGCATATGTGTTGGTGTGTGCGTGTGCATGCATATGTGCTGGTGTGCGCATTGGCATGTGCATGTGCATGCATGTGTGCGTGTGTGTGCGTGTGTTGGAAGGTGTGGAGTGTGTCTTCGTGAGCCCGGATGAGTGTGCGTGCTGCAACCTTCCCCGGGCTGGGCGTGAGGTGCTGGGAAGGGTGGAGCTGCCTGCAGACCCTGGAGGGCGGCCCCGGAGGCTTTCTGAGATGACGGGGCAGAAGTGGGCTGGGGGGGACGGCTCCGTGGGCGGGGCTGGAGCGGCTCTGCTTTTGCTGTCTCTCACGCGGTTTGCAGCACAATGTGTGCCCTCAGCAAGGATGCTGGTTCTTCAGAGGTGTCAGCACCGGGGCCGGCACCCCACTTCCCTCCCAGAAATCCCCCTGGGGCTGGTGCAGGAGCAGGGAACTCCCGTCACGCCTGGCCTGCTGTCGTCAGAGGGCCGCCCTCAGCCTTAAGGAGGGGCAGAGTCAGGGACCAGCCTCACTTCCCCCAGCCCTTCTCAGACAGCCCCTGAACAGGCTGCGGCATCGGGGGTCACACACGCCACCGGGAGGCCAAGGCTGCCTGCAGGTCAGTGCTGCCCACAGCCCTAGGGGCCTCCCAGCAGGGCAGGGGCATGATAGGGGTGAGGCTGTGATGGGGACTCAGAGTGAGATGACGCTGTGTTGGGGACTCAGAGTGGGGTGAGGCTGTGATGGGGTCTCGGGGTGGGGTGAGGCTGTGATGGGG